TTGGGTCACCTGGAGGGGGATAAAAGGGGCAGCGTGGGCTGACTCAGGGGAGAGACAAGCGAGGGACATCAAGGAAGGAGCTTCACAGAGCTGAGCCAGTGGGGCAGGAGCAGTGCCCTGAAAGAGCAGGACCTGCAGGCAGCAGTGGGACCCTCAGCAGCATGGTGTGTGGCCAACAGGAGAGGCTCCCCACTGGGCTCCAGGATCCCCTATGAGAGGCTGCAGCCAGCAGGAGAGACTTCTCCCCCACTCCAGGAAGGATCTGAGCAGCAACCTGAGAGGTTCCCAGCTCTGCTTCCAGCTCCTCCAATTGTAGGCTAGGCAGCTTGACATGAGGCCGAGGGTCCAGGAAGGTCAAGACCCCTAGCAGGCTAGAGTAGTGCTACCGGTGGTGGCTGTGTGGCAGCATTCCTGCCTACCATGTGGGAGTTCTGGGTTCATGTCCCAGCTGGGGTGACTTGGGGTGAGTGAGATAACAAGAAGCAAATCTTCTTGCAGAGGAAAGGGGTCATTGTGTTTTCCCCCACTTTCTCCCCCTCCAGGTACCAAGGTCCTATATTTCCTTATCACTTGACATTTTGCATTTTGTGCCTTTTTATATTTCACCAACCCGTGTTGTTTGTTCTGCTGTTTGTGGTTTTTATATTTTGTTAACCCTGTTTTTTGTCAATGATTGTAAGTGTCTAACCTTTGCTGAATCCTGCCCCCTTGGGGCATTGTATTGTCCACTATACCCTCTGATTTATGCCTGTTATGTTCCCACTATTAAAAGGTATATGGTTAAGTCCCCATTGGTGGTCTGGCTCTGCTCTATCCCTACACCTCCCACAGCGCTTGTGCACCTGCTTTGATCCCTTCAGTTGGAGAGGGGGTACCTCTTGGAGTACTGCCCAGGTTACATACTAAACTGTTTTATAATAAGAAGGACCTATAGCATGTGTCCACTGCAGCTGGGCAGGCAGGACAGCCTGTCACTCATCCATTATAATAAGAGAACTTAGACAAGAAATAGAATCCAAGTCCAAATCTACTGCATTATAGAAGAAACTGGATCTACCTTCAAACATTTAATGATCTGCAACTATTTACCAATATCACCTTGCTATTACTAACAGTAAATTCCCAGGACTAAAAATGCCAAACATGATTTCTTCATGGAGAGACACATTTGCATTTCAGATAGGCTGATATATTCATTTCATAAGTTTCATAGCCAGAAAGGGACTACTATAGTCATCTAAGCTGGCCTCCTCAATAACAAAACAGGACATACTTTAAAAAATATATATACATAATAAGTTCAGGCAATCCTAATGCATACTTTTTGGAAAATACCCAATGTTGATTTAAGAGTTTTAATTAGAAGGAGCTCACCAAGGCCTTTGGCAAGTGAGCTCAACTGTTTACCCCCTTTCCAATTCCAAAGTTACACCTTATTTCTAGTCCAAATTTTCAAGCTT